TCCCATGCTAGGACTTGCACTTATCTGATCTGATCAGAAGCTGACCCTCTGACCTGTGCTTCCAATCAATGCTGGCAAACGCTCTTCAAGCCAGCACAGCAGTCTGCTGATGAACAAGATACTGAAGAGGAATTCTATTTTATACATTTTATATGTTATATATACATATTTACATGGTTATATATGGTGTTATATGTGTGCATGAGTAGATAGGTAGGCAGGACAAATACATTTGCTGATATAAAGTAATAATCAAATTATAATAATCAAATTGCAGAAAATTACAACCTGCTCCCAGATAGTTCATGAACTGAAAAAGCCTGGAGTCATCAGATGAGTGTGTTGGCTTTGCTTTTTTTCTGCTCTGTGTTGCTGGTATTATATGAACTGCTTAACAGTATCTGTGTGCACTGCTCTACCTACATGGCAAAATTAGACTAAACTATGTGTCATAGACACCATACTATTAAACAATAATGGTGACTCTCTTGCAGCACATACCTTTTTAGCAGCACAGATGCTTCAGCTCTTATCGGATTAAGAGTACTGGGTTCTGTTCCCAGTTTCTCTCTGAAGATCAGCCTGAGACTAACAGGGTGACTTGAGTATAACAGTGTGAGTTCGGTGGCACAAGGGTTTGCTTGTGGTGGGGCTTAACATCTTTTGTGGTTCCACATGCGTCAGGATGAGCGTTTTTCTCACAGGATGAGAATGTGATGAATTTTGTATGCTTAGCACTGAAAGTGGCAAAGTGGGGAATTTAAACTTCTTAGCTGTGTGTGATAGACCAAGCCAGTGAACAGCTGGTGGAGAGACTCTTTTAGCTCCAGGGGTGACAGCTTGTGTACTTGGGGTGCAATAGGATTAGACTGCAATTTCCATCCATTTCAAAATAACCTTGCTCAAGAGGGTCAGGAATCTGGAGATGTAGGAAGCCATAGCTCACTATTTGTTACATTACGTTCTAATTAAAAAAAAAAAAAAAAAAAAAAAAAAAAAAAAAAGGCTTTTGGAATCAAATTTGACCTGAATATAACTCCGTTGGCTTCTGCGTTCTTACACCAGGGATTAATTTGGCCCTTTCTACTTTTATGTAATGAGCTGATTGCCACAGTATCTTATCCTTGTTATACAATCACCCTTGTCTGACTGTGTCCCTGGAGCGCTGTGTGTGTGAGTTTCTAGATCTAGGGTCTCACCTTGACTGTGTACCTAGTCCTAGAGCCTCACCCTGAGTTACACTGATATACTCTGTGTGTATGTGTGTGTGTATGTTCATTCCAAGTTCCAACAGTGTGTACAAACCAGCATACTTATATGGGAATTGAGGGGCTTTCTCGTTTGGCTGGCTGTATCCCTGTGGTGTTTGCTTTTGCAGGGGGCAAAGAGAGAGGGAATTTTATCATCAGAGATCTCATTTAAACAAGAAGGAGCATAGGAAAATACATTCTTTATTATTATTCTGTAACAACAAGCCAGAAATATAATATACCTTTAAAAATTTTCTGTCTCATGCCAAAGAAACCTCCATTCAATCATTTAGAAAATCTTGTCGCTCTCCCTCAAACGGTAACAAAAAAGAAAAAGGAATTACAAGTGCCATCTCTTCCCTGCAAGAAATGTGCCTGTGCCACAGGTGGGTGTGTGGGGAAGGGGAGTGGGGGAGAGCAGAAGGGGTGTTTCTGGTGGCCCTGCCAGCCCCTAGATCGCCCTGGCATGTGTTGGACCTGCCTGCCCCAGAATACCATTTCCTGAGTGCAGGCGCCTGCATGGAGCTTTGGTGCACCTGCCTGCACCAAAGGGTGCATTCAGGGGGGTTTCCCCCGTGCCTAGCCATGCCTGCAGGGATAACAGGAGCCCCTGTCTCCACACACCAAAGGAACCCATTGGCTGAGCACGCAAGGAGCACTGGGTGTCATTCTGTATCCAGCATCCCACAGGAGAGCTTTGTTTCGGACTGTGCTAGCTACCGTGTTCCCTGGTGTGCCTGTGGACAGTGCAGCAGCTCAGTCACACCAGGGCAGCCTGTTTTCCAGGTGTGCTAGGGAAAGGAGGAAGAGCCTGTTTGCAAACAGTGGCATGAAGAGGGTATTTCCCAGTGAACCCAGTTACTCTGCTCTGCGTGTGAGAGGTCCTCATCCTTCCCAGCAGAGTATTTGCTTTCCAGTGGGACTCCCCATAGCAGCCAGCCTTCATATTTCTCAGCAGCACTCAGTTCTCTCCTTTCCTGGGTGGGTTTCTAAACATAGCAGTCCCTTGTCTAGGGTTGAGATAAATCCAGACTTTCTGCTGTATAAATTAAAACAAAAAAGGAAAGGATGGGCAAGGTCATCATCAGCCCCACAACACAAGATATAGAAAATATTATTAGCAACAAAGAAAAATTGATCAGGGCTGGAGGAAGTCACAGGGAAGGTGCAGGGAAAGGAGGATGTCATCCCCTCAACCCCTGCAGTGTGCCCTGCCTTTCTCCCATTCATTTTATCTCTGGTCTATTCCCTTTAAAACAGTCTCTCACTCTCTTGCTCACTCACACACATACATACACACACACACATATATAGATCCCATTTGTTTTGTGCAATATTTCACCATTTTTTGATGCAAGTAAAATATAGATCTATAAATATACCACTCTGACTCAAGTCCCATTTCAAGTATGATTGTGGAGTCCAGTATGGTAAAGGGAGAAGTTCCCCTGAGAGGGAGGCTGGGGAGAGGTTTGGATCCAGCAGGCAGAGTCTAGTCCTGGCTTGCTGGGAATGTGGAGCAGCAGTGACACGCATATGGAGTCTGCAGTGCACCAGTTCTGCCCTTCAGAACGGGCTACACTTGGAGCAGATGGGATGGTTGTAGTGGCTATACAGTGTATGGGGTGAGAGTCCTTCCTCCTCACGTCTTGCCAGCCCCCCTCCTCCTCTTCCAGTTCCTCACAAGCAGTGTGCTGGGAGTAGGGGTAGAATGTGTGTGCACACTTGTGGGTGGACTGCTTCTCCCAGTTGTTCCTCCATGGCAGCCTTGTCTTCTGCTTCCTGAAGAACATCCTCCCCCGTCCCATGCATCCCCGTGTCGAAGGAAAGTCATGCTTAAACAGTTCAGAGCATCCTGTCTCCTTGCCTCTAGTGACCCTGGGTAGAGCAGGAGGGATTTTACCACTCCAGGCTTTGATTAAAGATGTTGTGTGCCCGTGGGTCAGTGCAACCACCTGTCTGGAGCCAGAAGGGGGTGAGGAGCCAGCGTGCATTGCTTCCGCAGGGATCCGGTCACAGCGAGCAGGAGGGCTGCGAGATGTCCGAAGGCATCGGGATTCAGATGGAGCAGGTGGAAGAGGTGATGTGCCCTGGCAGGGTCCACCTGCAGTGCATGCTGGGCTCTGAACACAGGTTGCCAGCAAAACACCCTGCAAAGCTGGGCTGGCTGCCAGCTTGTTTCCTGATGGCAGGGATCACACCATCCACAGGCACTGTGGATGCACGACCTCCAGTGTCATCTTCCTCGCCCAGGAATACCCACTGTGACGGGTTAGAGCAGGTTACCATGGCAATGTGCGCTCTCCCCTGGAGACAGCATTTTATCCCACTTCCAGTGATACAAAATGAGTCCTTATGTCGAGTTCCTTTCATTTTTTTTTCCCCTCTCACTTTTTTTTTTTTTTTTACCCTGTCAGGTCAGAATGAGCAAAGACTAATAGGAGGCACTGCAGTCTGAGGGCTTTAAAGTCTGACTGGGGGAAGTCACCCTATGTGACAGTGGCAGTGTGCGCAGTTGCGTGTGTGGGCATGCTCGTGTGCAGCTGTGGATGGCGTCAAACACACCAGTGATGGTTAAGGGAGCCTATGTGGGCTGTGCTGCCTTCCATGCCAGACCCTTCCTGGGCTCTCCCACACCTGCCACGCTGTGATCCAGGTTTCAGCCTTCAGCTCAAGACCCCTCAGAATTGCGCCCACGCTTTTCAGTCACCTCAGCTGCGTCACCCTGCTCCACACGCCGTGCTGGCCCCTCTGCCAGCCGTGTCAGTTGTGTGACTTCTTCCCCTGACACCTTTCCCCAGGCTCACACTACTCAGCGTGGCTTACACTACTGAGGCTGGTAAACCACCTCCTCCTCTAGTCTTTCCTGATGACCCAGTTCTACTCTGCCAGCCAAACATTTCTAAATGGAGGCTTTGTATCCTTACCCTCTCCATTTATCAGAGAAAACATAAAACAGATAAGAAGAATACACCTTATTTTTTTCACAGACTCATGCTCTAATCTCAATAACTTTGCCTCTCTCTACCGTCTCCTGCCAGTTTCCACTGGCTCTGCACTAGGGCTGAGATGTCTCTGTTAGCTCCTCAGTGGCAGTGTGCATGTATTTTGTCTGAAGCAGAAGGCAATATGCAGTGCTGTGATCAGGGTAAGGTAAAGTGGCTGAATGTATTCAACACACAGAGGGCAGATCAGCATGGGCATGTGTGGCTCTGCATGTGCAGGTGGGGTGCCTGGATATCTGGAACTGTGGCTGGCTGTGTGTGCGTGTTGGGATCAGAATGAGTCAGTGTGTGTGTGTACAGGAGGGTGACTCCGTGTCTGTGCACCTATAGGAGATGACATGTGTGTCAGCTCACAGATTTGGACTTGGCCAGGAGCAAAAAGAAGGACACTGTGCTCCTGGCAGTGTGTTGAAGTGACACAGGTTATCCTTCCACCTTTAAAAATGAGAAAGGAACTCTCCCACTGACTGTTGTCCTACCCTGGGGACCTTCCCTCCCTTCTGATGTAAGGAGCACTGACTTGCAGGTAGTGACCCTAACAGTGAGGCATGGACACTTCTGGTGTCCTGCTTCCCACACAAGCTTTCACAGAGCTGCTCTCGGTTTGCAGAGAACTCTTGACAGGATACAGGATGACTCAGGACCAAAGCTGAGAGAACAACACAGGTTCCCAGAATGTGCCAGCTGCCTTTGCAGCAGGCATGTGAGGGAAGCTCTGTGCAAGGGCATGAGGCACAGCAAGCACTCGAGGTCTGACTCTACTTTATTTTGTCTGGGAGGCCCCAAGGGTGAAAGGGCACAAAATGGGCCTGGGGCAGAGGAAAAGAAATTGAGCCAGGTGCCCTGACCCCCCAGAAGCATGTTGCACTACTTGGGTGAGTGGAGCAATAGCACAGTCTGTCTCTCTGTCTGGGAAGATGTATTTTGGGAGGGCCCCATGCTTGACTGCTCTCAGGTACCTTTTTTTCATCGCTGTCCCTTCCTTCCTAGAAGAGTTTCACGCCACAGAGGAGATTTGTTTTTGTTCTTCATGTTCACCTTCTGTGTCACCCATGAGCGGCTGCCTCTTCTTCAGCTCCCGGTGGTACTTGGCCATGAGGGAGGCGTAGATGCAGCCGTAAGCAGCTGCCACCACCATCATGATGCAAACGATGCCGCAAACCACCCCTGCAATGATCACAGTGCCAATGGCCCGGCGCACGCTCACGGGCCTGTATCGCTGTTTCTGAGGGCATCCCACACTGGGCTCCACTTCTGTTTCTGGGCCTGATTTAGATTTGGAAGGAGTTGGGCTGCCTTTAGTGCAGGGTGGGCCAGTATTGTCCAGCACGGTAGAGCTGTTCTCATCATCCAGCTGGGAGCAGTAGTTAAACATCTCCATGGGTACCATTCGCATATCCTTCCCTTTCAGCTCCTTGGGCAGGGTACATGCCAGCTGGTCAATTTTGCCACCTGTTCCAATAGAGATAACAGGAGTGAATCACAGCTTCATCCCGTGACAGTGACAGCAGAGATAGATCCTGAGGTGGGGTGAGTTCATGAGCCCTCTGTCATGTTTGCTAAGTATTTTCCCTGCAGAAGTTTCAGCCATGTCAGCTGGCTGATATGATTCTGCCTAGGCTGGATTCCACACTAGAGCTCATGGTGCATGATATCTGCACAGACATCTTTCAGGCCAAGACATGAAAGCCCTCTGAAACCATTTATTAAGTCAACCCCATATTGTTTAGTGAGTTATGTAAGTGTCAGTAGAACCGTTTTATAAAAGGAGAAATAAAAGCAAAAAGATAGGACCAGGCTGTGTCTTCTCAAAATAACAACAGATGCATGGTCCCATCTTCTAACAACAAATCTATCTCTGTGAAAATAATGACAGATGATGAAACAAATGCCTGAGTGAACTTGGGCAATTTCTTTGGAAGGGGACTTAAAAAACAAAGTTACCTCTGTGTGCTTTCCATCAACATATCGTGTGATATGGGAGTCAAGAAAGAAAACAAACCAAAAATGAAAAAAAGAGGACAGTGGCACTTGTATGCTTGTTTGATTCTGCTCACACAAATGCATATTTCAGACTGCAGTGTAGCCATAGGCAGAGATAATCTTCTTGCAGCATGGCTGTGATCAGCAGGGATGTGACAGCTGACTGTTGCTATCCGCATGATTTGAGACCCTTTCCTACTCGTTGGCTTCAGCAACAGAAGGTCAGGCCTTCAATCGTCATTCCTGTAAAATGTGCCATCTTTCTTTGAGTTGCAGCTCCTAAAAATATGTCATCCCATCAGCATTCCCCATAAGTGATATGTACCTTTCAGCCTTCTCTGTTTCAAGGAAAAGGTGGAAATGCAAACTTGTCAAAAACTGCTTGCTTTAAAATGATGACTTTATAGCCAGTCTGACTTGGGACCTGGCTTGTAAATTTGAGCTTTCAGTTTAGGTTTACCAATATTAGTTGGAGTATTTTTTCTAAGTGGCACCCTTGCCTATGGTTCTTTTGTTGGCAGAAAACCTGATGCTTTATAGCCAAATCTGACTTTTAGTTCTCTTGGCTTAAGAAAGAGAATGGGATGGCTATTTTCAAGTGTGAAAAGCATTTCTTCTGTTTAGGCAGAAAGGGTGAGGTGAACTCATAATCCTAAAATTTTGATGTTACTTGGGGAAAGTTCTTTCTTCTCCCAAGGTTAAAAAAAAGGGGGGGGGAGGGGAGTAATTGTTCAGATTAGAAACAAAACAAGGAAATAGGAGATCTGGGGCTGCAGAGGACTCCCCGGCCTGGCAGTGTTGTTATACAAATGTGCAGTGGCACTAAACTGTGGTATGGTCCTCATACTCTTTGGCTAAGACCTGTCATTCGGGTCAGCCTGACCTGACAGATGTATCTGCTCATGTTTCTCCCCTGCCTTTGTTTGCCCTTCCGTGGAAGACCAGCCCTTCTGCGCTTTCACTCCCGCCGTGCGAACACCTACCTCTGTAGGAGAACCACTCCATCCAGTGTTTGAAGTCTCGGAGGTTGCAGTCACATTCCCAGGGGTTATCCCCAACTTGGAGCAGCTGCAGGCTGGTTAGCGGTTCGAAGGTCACCCTGTCCAGGCTCTGCAGGCGGTTGGACCTGAGAGAGAGGGAGCGGAGAGCAGGCAGGTCGTCAAAGATTCCCGAGGGGATCTGGGCCAGGCCGTTGATGGAGAGGTCCAGCTGACGCAGCAGGGCCGTGTGTTGTAACAGGTCCTTGTCCAAGGCCCTAATGCTGTTGTTCCTCAGCTGGAGCTCCGTGAGGTTCCCCAGGTCACTGAAGATGTTCTGAGGGAGCTGGTCCAAGAAGTTGTTGGATAGATCTAGCCTCTGTAGAGCGGAGAGGTTGGAAAACACTGCCCCTGGCAGGATGCTGAGTTTGTTGTTGAGAAAGAGGAAGGTCCTGGTGTTTGTGGGGATGTCTGAGGGAATGGAAGAGAGGCCCAAGCCACTACAGTCCACTTCCAGGTTGCCACTGTTACACTTGCAGGAGGAAGGACAAGCAAAGAAGGACTCAGCAGCACATAGCGACAGCCAACAGCCAAGCACTGGTGGGTGAAAAGCAGGAAAGAAAGAGTGCATGTATTAGAGCAGTGCTTTCCCACCCTCACCCATCGCCACCTTGAGCACAGCTACGACCACAGTACAACCCTCACAGCAGGACCCTTCGCTGCAATGCCCTGCAGTGTAATGAGTTTCCTCACAGCTACATCCCTTTGCTGCTGGCCTGCACCCTCACACCGTGACTTTCCTCTTAGCCTTTCTTTTTTATGAGCAAGTAAATATCCTTCCAGCTTCACAAAGAAGTTAGAACAGTGCATCCCAGAGGACTTTGCTGACAGATAATGGAGCACTGGTGCCTGTCAGAGGAGAATGGAGCAGAGAGCAGTGGGAGGTGTCACCTCTGATAAAGGACAACTTTCTAAACAGTCAGGGTAGAGAGAGGAGGGACCAGTTTATATTTAAGAAGCTCTATTTTCTTCAGGAATAGACATGTTAATGAAGAGCTTTTAAGAAAAAGGAAACCAAAACAACCTACATCTCGTTTGCGCTCCTGCAGTTTGAATTCTAAGATTTGTGATAGGTCAGACTCAGGTTCTAAGTTAGCTTCTACATCAGGGTATTGCTTGCTTTACCATATTCATAGTGTGTCGTGTGGGCCTTGTGTCCACTTTTGATGAATTAGATTACATTACAAAGGGATGACCAAGAAAGCTGGGAAAAAGGAAGAAGTCCCTGGACTGGACACCTGGAACTTGCCACTGCTCTCAAAACAGTTTCATGATCCTATAACAATAGCCCCAGAAGTACCTCCTCTGACTAAAATTGCCCACAGCAATGGAATGAGGAAAAAAATTGCAGATTGGTAACTAAAGAAAGAGGTGTTAGGAAAAGGGTTATCATGTGCAGCCTTTCTCCTTCAGTGTCTCAGACTTAAGATCAGACAGTCCACAAATCTGCATTTTTTTAGAGGCTGCTCTGGATCACCATTCCAGACATAGGTCCAGATCCTCTTAGTGGAGTCAGGACACTTGTTACCAACCCTCCCTGGGTGCCAGTGGCTTCTAAAATTCTCATTTCTGTAATAAAGAAGCAATAGCATCAGGAAAGCGAGCTCTGTGCCTCCTGTCATTAGAGGAGTGGGAGTTATGTTTTAGCAGACTATGTAAAACATTTGCATCCTTCATCTTAATTCCTTTCATGGAGTTGAGCTCGCACAATGAATTCCACAATTTTTCAATGTGGGAAGCAAATTCAGCTCCCTCGCAGTTTTTAAGGTGACAAGTTTAAGCATTTAACTAAAACTGAAGCAGGTTTGTCTGTATGTCATGCCCTGTCCTCTCCGTTTCTCACTTTTCTGCAGAGAAGGCAGTCACTTAAGGGTCAGTTTTAGGGGTCTTTTTAGGGGTGAATGGTGGCTAAGGTGGATGCATTTATTGTCTAACCATTCTTTCCTAAACTGAAAATCAGTTTCTTTTGTCCTGCTTTTTTTCAAAGAACCAACACGCAGGTATTTTGTTTCTTAACCCTGAAGGAATTGTGAAAGGACTGCCACAAGAGAGGGAGCCAATGGAGACACAAGCTCTGGAGTTGCTCTCCTTGGAACAGTTCTGAAGTCAGCCATGCTCTTCCTCTCTTCCCCTATGCCACTCTCTAGAGCTCAGTCTGACCCATAGCCCATTTTTTATATTGACTTGGCTTCTGTCAGCAAGGTGCCTTCATGCTCAAACCCTGTCATCCTGCATAGGGTGTTTTTCTGTTCCCAGACATCCTTGTGAGAACTGACAGATTTGTGGACTGGTAGCCTAAGGAGAAGTACCCATTTTGGATCCTAAGCTATATAACTTTATCAAGGACCAAGGGATAAGCATTCAGAGAGAGTGTCCCAGCTCTCTCTTATTTTATCCATCTTTCTCAACCCTTCAAGAATTTTTTGCTATCCTACAGTTGAGAGCTCAGGTGTACATCAGCCCAGGCCATGCCAGTATGTGTGACCTTTTAACAATAATCATGGATCCCTATGGTGAAATACAAGACAGATCTTTACCCCGAGCACCTCTGTGCATTCTTGGCATGCAAATGTTGGGGTCCACAGCAGAGATTGCCATGAAAGCAGATTGTACCCTCTGGGCTTGCAGTACAGGTACTGACTGGCTGGCTGATATTTAATTCTGTTCAGAATACATCACAGCCTTGTTGTAGGAAGAGAATTAAAAGAATGGGAGCTAGAATGGGGAAGGGAGAGAGCCATGAGTCACTCCAGTGACCCCGTCTTTTTCCTAGATGCTTAACAAAAGCACAGTATTAATAATAGATTGACAGCTGTGATGATGAGATAACACTTAGCTGCTTTGTACACCAAGAAAGGCAAGAGCAGACCGTGTGTAATGCTATACAGGTGGCATTCTGCTCACAGGGCTTATCTCTCAAAATGCCTGCCCGCCTCCGGCGCCGACCGGGTGGCTGTGGGGTTCCACCAGTATGTGTGCTGGCAGCGGCTGGTAGGAACAAAGTCTCAGGCAGCTGGCTGTGGTTATGTTCAGGAAATGGATTTATGCCAAGTTTCTGCAGCCATGTATAGGATATGCCAAAAATGTCTTGTTGTTACCCATACATTGCTGTATGCTTTTGGAAATATTTTACTAAGATCACAGAGAGAAGAGAAAGCCTGATTTCGTTTTCGTCTCCTTGCAAGAAGTGCATCACACTGGGATGTGAGCTGAGACCAGGGAATTCATTGCACTGGTTAGGATGCAGCTCCATGGGAAAGAGAGGCAGGGAAGGCATAGACAGAACTTGGAGATGTCTTCCAGCCCTACGGAAGGCTGAGTAATATGTGTTTTCGTGTTAGGGGCATATGAAGTTACTTTGTGAGGTGTTTGGTGACTCTAGTAGGTGGCAGAAAGCTGATGCAGGTATATCAGATTAAGTCAAAACTCAATAGCATTCATTATAAATAATTTATCTAGCAGTCTGGTCTGTGAGGATGGATTACAAAGATACCTGTTTTCTGGAGAAGGAAATAATTCCTCCAGATTCTTACAGCCCCAAATTTGATCAGGAGGACTGGAACAAGGGAAAACACAGACCTACTTGTTACCTGGGCATGCAGTAGTGATGGACACACTCCAAGTGTTCCCTTTCCTTTACTGTGGTCCCCAGATGCTTCTCTGAGATCCAGGTACATTCCCAGAAGGCCACATCACCCTAGCTGTCTCTGCCCTGCACTCAGAGGTACTGTAGCAGTCCCAGTCCACTGGGAATATGCACAGGCTGAATGCTTACAATTTAGTTTGAAAGAGATCTTCTTTATTTACTCCTTGATTTTCACTACATGTGGCAGTGCCTAGTAGGAGAATTCTGCCTTCACGTCCTGCATTCCCTTCTAAAATCTGTTTTGAGTTCTGCTGTGAAGAGCTGGGAGCCTTGTTCAGCAGCCTATGTATAAACCCCTACCATAGAGAGGAGTCTGCAGCTTATAGGATACTGATTTGAGAAATGCTCGGGGTGGATCTTTGTGTGATGGTATCTGTCATGCTGTTTCTCACCTGCCAGGCCCACTGGAATTCAGAAGCAATCATCACTCGCTGTCCCACTTTAAGCCCATATTCAGCTTTAGAATCTCACTCTCCCTCCCAGCTAGCCTGGCCTCTAAAGGAATCAGGAATTAGTTCAAACATCTCCATTCTTAGCTGTCCCTCTCCCCTATTCTTAACCCTGATGTGACCCATTTTCTTCCCACTCCCTTGACAAACAGGAATATCGTACTGAGTACCTGAGTAGGCATTACTTACGACAAGCCTCTTGCCACCTCATGAGGAACCTGCTCCTCCACCGGTGGCCAGCACTTGTAGGCAGCATCCTTGTCTTCTCCAGCGTGTCTTCACATCCAACAGCCAGCCTGGCACACAGCCCCAAAAGGAGAAGGAATGACCTTGTAGCCTGCCTGCCAGGTCCTGGAGTGAGAAAGCAGAGCAGAGCGGATGAGATTCAGTTCCCTGGGTGCAGAGCGTGGGGCTGGGCTCAGTGTTGTCCTTTCCCCTCCCCAGCTAGTGTGTTGCCTTTGAGGCATCATCTCTGTTTTGGAGGAGAAATGGAGGATGTTTCAGGAGGCACAGCATGTTGAAGGCTCAATGTTAATTCATTTTGAACCTCACAGTGCAGAACTAAGGCCTGATTCACCTAAGTGCCAGAGAGAGAAGTTTGTGCTTGAATAGCCTGCCGTGGTGGCTACATCAGCCTCATGCTCAAGGTTAGCCTGATGAATTGCTAAGGTGACCCTGCCAGGGCAGCAGACTCCAGCTCATTCCTGTCGCCTCCACGCTGGCTGGTACCACCTGTGCATCCTCTCCCTGACGCACGGCTCAGGCTCACGGAGATCTGGGCACCAGCGGCTGCCAAGCTGCTTTTCTCCCTCCCCCCACCTCCCCCCCACCCCTCCCCGTATTCCCTACCAGCACTTCCTGTCTGTTTTAAGGTAAAATGGATGTGGTGGCTAGAACAGCACAGCTTCAGCTTGGGGATTTCCCACTGCAGCAACTGCAGGAGCTGAAGAGCAAGCGAGCCTCCGAGGAGAAGGAGAAGGAAGGACCTGGGGCGGGGGAGACGGAGTGGGAGTGTTGAAAAGAGGGGAATTGCATCTTAATTAGAAGAAGGAAAAATCCTCAGTCTAATTAGAAACCCAAAGACCATAAACTATCCCCTGACAATAAGTGACTGACAACAGGTTTCAACTTCCCTCCTGCTTCCCTTCTGGATACAAGGAGGCAGGAAAAAGGAAAACACCACGAACCCTTCTGTCCCCCTGTGTACTCTCTGATGTGCCATCCACAGTCACAGCAGCAGTTAGATGGACGCATTTCAACCAGAGTACAGATATAAACCCTGCTCCATCCCCTCTGAGGGGCTCTGACAACATCCACAGCTGTTATTTTAGCTGGGCAATGCACTCCCACCAGGACAATCTCCCCACACACGTGCCAGGCTCCCCTACCCTCCCCCAGGCTCCCGTGACTGATTTATTTTATATGGGAATGTAAACCACCAGAAAAAATATTTAAATTAGCATCTTGATGAGAATGATGAGCAGGTTCAGTGCCCAGACTAGTACATTAGCAAGGCTATTTAGATCACTTACCTAAATGTCAATGCACCAAATAGATTAATACCTCTCACGGTACCGAAACTGGTTCGACCTTCACCCGCTGCAACCCCCCACTCCCCAAACTGAGCTGGAGCCCTTTCCCTGCAGCCCCCACTGAAGGAGAAACCGCAACAAATAGCTGTCCCCATTTGGTGCTTGTGCTCGACCTGACTGAGGAGACTTTCAGCCTCCCCCATATAAATGTCTCCATCCTAAATGCCACCCTGAAGTCTCCTTTCCTCGCCTGTCCGTATTGAAAAGGAGGATGAAAAGCCACAAGCACTTACCTGGAGAGGTTCTGCCTGCAGCCACTTCCACCTGATTCCCCGGACACTGCCCAATTACAACCTCTTCCTTCCCTTTCCCTCCTTGACTTTCATTCCCCAGCAGCAGGCTTTCCGTGTGCTCTATTTAACTCCCTACAGCACTGGAATAAACGGCAGAGTTAAGCTGACAGCCACAGAGCCTTATCTGCCTGCTGGATAGCGCGAGTCGATCAGCTCCAAATCCTGTTGCCAAATGATCACGTCCTTGCTCTCAGCATCAGGGGCAGCCGCCTGCCACGCTCTGTCTTTCCCTCTTCCCCACCTTCACTCCATCTAACTTTTGTCAGGGTTATAGATAGCTCTGTTCCTTGTGCTTTTGCTTTTTGGCTCTGTTTTGTAACACCCCGTCTGTATCAGCTGGCTCGGTTCCAATTGGGGGGCTAAGCTTTTTGGAAAAAAAAACAAAAAAACAAACCTAAACCAAAACAAAAAAGCCCAAAATCAGCTTCCTTGGGTGCTTTGTGACTCAGTTTCCCTCTGTGATCTCTCCTCAGCCCATACCCCCTCTCAGACCATGGGCTGGTGTCTCTCCTGCCCTGCTTGCTGCTCTGTGCAATTCACCTGCACCATCCCCAGGTGACAGTGGGGGGCTGAGGGCAGGACTGGCACACCCAGGCATGGGGATGGTGACAGGGTCAAGATTTCTACCCCTAGATCCTTCTACTCTGCCAGGGCAAGTCCAGCTCTTGCACTGGTTTCTGGTACCTCACGGGCGCCTCTTTCTCTCAGGCAGCACCAAGGCTCAAGCAGAGAGTGCAGGGTGGGAGGAGCAGCCGTGTATAAATAAGCCCTTTCCTTATGTTTAGAATTTATTACAGTGCATAGTGATTAACACCTGTTCAGGCTTTAATGCTGTCTCCTGCACTGCAACATGCACAAAGATGGAGGGGCCTTGATAAACCCAAGATTATTTTAAAAGCATGTCACATACACGCAACACTCCCACCCCACAGATAGCAGCCACCCTGTGTGCACTCGTACACGTGTTTCCAAGACTTCAAAGTGACTGCCTTCATGTACAAATGCACATATTCTAGTCACCAATCTAGCTTACATTTACAAATATGTGCACAGACTTGGGCTTGCACATGTGCTGGGGGCTCTTCTGTAACCCATATTTATCAACCTCCATGTCTTCCACAAAACCGCCTGCTTCTCCAAGCATACCATATGCTCAGGTGGCAGAACAGTAGATTTGAAATAGGTAGAGGTTCTTGGCTGCTGAAGGGCAAAGCACAGTGAGCTTCTGCATTTGTACCTTGAAGTAGAAGGTTTATGGAGAAATTTTAATTCCAAGGATCCGGAAAAAAAACAGTTTCTCCCATGCATTGACTGCCCATAAGCACATTATACCCTTAGTGATTAATATTCCACAGTCAGGAGAGAGCAAGGAAGCAGAGAGGATTTTTGAGGGTTTCTTTTTTAAATGCTTTCTCTGACTTGAGTTCTGACTTTATTAGCTGTTTTATTGTGGCCCAAGAGATGCCTTCTGCTCTGCGGAGCACCAGGCCAACTGCACTCGCTGCCAGTGCAGCACTGGGAACACCCAGTCCTGGGACAACTAGCACTTGCCCACACCTCAAGCCTCTCCATGTCAGCACCAGGTCTGTCTGGCTGCTTTCAGCCTGAGAGCCAGGGGGTTTTTTCCAGCAGTGAACACTCTGCCAGACCTAGGAGTGCCCCTTGTGTGCCCCCAACTCAAGACGAGGCACCGTGCCGTTCCGAACCCACCTGGCATTGCTTGGGTTTGGGGGCTCAAGGCTGATTAGCATTGCTGGAGCTCTGAATGCTCTGAAGTCACCCAAGTCACCCAAGGGCTCCACAAACCAGGCATTAGTCTTTCTCCTGGGCTTACTAGATGGTTCCTTCTCCCTAGAGCAACATGTCAGCTGAATGCCCTGTGATCCGTGGGACACAGTATCCAGAGCTTTCTTCCATGTACTTGGAGTAGCATGTCTTTTCCAGACTCTGGAGAAATTAACAGGGTAGCCTGTGGCGCTGGTGATGCCCTTTTCTTCTTACTTGTTCATATAGGACAGTAAAAGACAACTTTTTTAGTTTCAGCTCAAAGCAACAAAATGAAATCATCCATTTCTGGCCCATGGGCTCCAGTGACCAAAAATACACTGAGTTGAAGTGCCACTTGGACATTTGGCCTGCTGTCAGACTCTAGAGGACTCTCTAATGAGGATTCCCCTAATTAGATTGAACAGGGAACTTTACTGCTGGGGCCAGGGAGTGGGGGGGGCTCAGAGGAGATTGTAATGATTTTGCAGCACTTGCCAGGGCATAAAAGCTACAGCAGACACTACCCCTGTCTTGTGCTTTGCTTCTCTCCACCCAGACACCAGTAATGTTTGCAGTATCACTCCAAAGCCTTAGCTTTTGTGGGTAGGGTCCCAAGGATCATGCTATGAGAGTGGGGAGGGTTTCAGATAACTGCATCCACATACTGTTTTAGTAACACTTCCCAATTCTGTGGCACCTTCTATCCGAAGCTTTCAATTTGCTCTATGAATGGCTCTTACCATAGTTGTAGGTGGTGTTACTTTGTATTTAATGACCCTCAGAAGTAAGGCTGAGATAATAGCCGGTAGTGCCTCTGCTCTTGGCAGGTGGATGTAAAGGTATTCCATTTTCCAGATAGCAACATTGAGGCTAGAGAGACAGGTGACTGTGTCACTAGGATGAGACACTGTGAAAAACAGAGCCCAGCAACTTCTGTCTCTGATTATCTCTCCTAGTCCTTTGCACTAACCCTTGGATCATGGCTCAGGGATCAGACTCCGTTAACAGCCTGGCTTATGAGCATTGGCAGGGCATGTGGGTGACCTATATTTCAGAAGGGTAGGTAGCAGAGGCTGCAACAGATGCCAGCAATAAATTATCAGAAAGTATACACAGACGTTCATCCCTCCCCCACACTCTCCTTGATAGCAAAGTCCCTTTCCCCTTCCTGATGCTGAATTGCTTTAGCCTTTATCAGAAAAACATCAGGGTTAGGGAGGGCATGGAGGATGCTTTAAGGAGATTATCTTCTTCCCTTCCCCTTTCCTTGTTGCTTTTAGGATTCATGTTTTATTAGTATCACCCCATAATGGAGGGGGACAGTGGTACCACAGCACTCAGTGACCAAAGCATGTTATTCTACGCCTGTTCCTTTATCAGCCCTTGGGGGGCAAGAGTCACAGGCAGCAGGAAGAGATGTCAGCTGATTAATACACCCCAAATGGGTTCAGATGGCATAGAGATGATGCCCGTTCTTGGTCCCCCAAGAGACCTAAGTTAGTCATGCAAATTATCGATCACGAGAGGTCACATTGTCGCAGTGGCAGCTCTTCATTTGTCATCTATTTGGACTGCAAAAGCACACAGAGGTGGTAGCAAAGCTCAGCAGCACTGTAGAAACATACAGTGTGTGTCACTGGCCCAGTGAGCTTCTAAGCTAAATAGCTGAGGGCTTCATTTGCAGCACTTGCTGATTTAT